TAATAAATAAAGTTTGTCATCCGAAGAAGAGCCTTATCTTTATTTTAGCGCGCCCCCGCACACATAACTTGTGCCATGTAGCATAGTAAGCTCCCTCTCTGCACGACGAAAACCCCAACTCTGCGTACTTATTGGCTGCTCTCTGTCTACAAGGACAGACGCTTATCTACTGGTGAGAAAACTTTAATTGCTTTACAACTATAGGCCGGAGGAGGGCCGATATATACTACAGTTAGCAGCAGCGCTCAGAGAGCTATCGTTAGGGTGTTTGCTCTGCAACTCCCGCTCTTCTAGCATGTACTTCTCTGAGTTAAATAGCGCCTGGTCGATTGTGCTGTAGCTTGTTCTGTTAATGCTACCCCTTAGCTAGATTTTAGCATAGTAAATACCAGTGCCGACAGCCTTTTGGAAAGGCTTTCGGCGACTAAGTCGGATATTACTATGTTGCCGGTGAAGTCGGATCCCTGATCCTAGATAACGGAGCTAGTGTGACGGGCTGGGCGAGCTTCGTCACCGCCCCACTGCCCCTATTTACGCTGTCAACCAAGTATGTACGTACGAAAGAAAATCGCAATATATACTACGAGCTAGTCAAATGATACTACACCACAATGCTCATTCCTTGATTTGACTGTCGCTTGGGCGAGCAGCCCAATAGCAGTGTCTTGGCGCCGCGGCTTGGGTGAATCGAATCTGGTTGCCGGCTCTTCCGGCACCCGAATTCCGTGATCACACTCCATTGGTGCATTACAAACACGGCGGCGACAGGGATGTACCACCCCTACAGGAAGAATCGTAGCTATGATTCGCACACTAGTGAAAATGATAGATGGCAGAGACGCAGAATTCGCACCAGTGTTGGCACAAAACCGCGCAGCTATGCATGTATTAACAGAATATGTTGGTGGTCAAGCTAAATCCTTTATCATAAGTGATGATGCTACTAGTGACACTTCAAGGGCGTGCATGCTCAAGGAGCTAAGCTATCTGTTTGATAATCATTCTTGCGTCAAGGAGAAAGACTAGTTGGAAAGGAAGCTCTAATCAACTGCAAGCCAAGGGAGAGCCGACATATTAGGAGGGCTGTTTTGCTGTGATTGATCTTGTCCTACGTACTGACTTGGTTTCAGCCATAGTCTCCACAGCTATGCCAGGCTGGCAAGCTTGACGGACAGCCAACGGGCTACAGGCAGGAGCTGAGTACTAAAAACCGATTGCGCATGTCAGCGTGCATTCGTTGGAAACGAATTTCGTTCAGCATTGTAATTCAGCCAAGGGGACAAAGTGAACTTAGCAAGACTTTCCGAATATGATTAAGGAAAGTACCGGGATATGGCTGTTATGTGGATGCTTTTGCGATCTAGACGTGTTGTGAGAGAGATGACATCCTTGCTAATCGAGCTTGTAGCACTAGTGAAGAGACGCGCAAGAAACATCACCAAGCAAAAACAACACTACTGCAGGCAACTACTACAGCCAGACCTATCAGCTGATGACGTGGACACCATGTAAATTGAAAGCAGCTAACTTATCCCTCGAACTGGGAACAACAATGACACTAACAAAGATATACTTACCGTGTTAACTAACATTATCGAGTGTTCGATTGAAACAATCCAGAACCTTGAATGCAAAATGAGAGAGGTTGAAAGGACTATCAAGCTACCATCGGTTATAATGTTGAAATTATTAACAAGATCGCTGACGATCTCGTGGCAGTAGCATCCTCTAGCGCGTACTACCCAGGCTTCGGTTGCGCCCGCAAACGCGCATGTGGAACTAAGCGCCATACCCGGAACGCTAGCAAATCAGCAGCACACCAACAGTGCTAACAATTATTCATACTAAGGCTATCAATCATGCACGAAGTCACTGCATATAGATTCGAACCCCTTATCATGGTCCATATTCTTCAAACCAGACAAGATGGATCACAACTTTGAATTTATTGCATCGTCTGCACGGACAAATAGCTTTGACAAGAAGCTGGGCTCGTAGTTGAGAGTGAGAGCATAATACTATGTTTACCAACTTGACAGGCAAGGCTCTCAAGTATGGTAGAGGCCCCACCAAACCTTCACGCTTCCACTAGTGCCACAGTCCACGATTCCGCTGGCTCCAACCCTTCCTTGCCAAGCGAACCTTGCAATAGAATCGCGAGTAAGATCTCTAACATCCTCATTTCCGATGGTGGTGATGACGTTGTTCACAGACCTAGCGCCGAATTCGCAAGTTCCCCAGCTTGCAATTCGTTTCTGCTGGGGTTCGACAACCTTTACAACATCAATCAGCGACGTCTTTTAATTTTACTAGAATCTAGAGAAGCTCACCCAAGTGCCATCGCCGGCAATCCTATCAAACATCGTTTGACAGTCGGTAATCCAAGGAGAACCACCAGAGCTATTGTTGATAAAGGTTGTAGCTCCGCAAAAGTTGTTTCTCTTCTTAAGCACATTTTCTGGAGCTGGGCTTGTAGGTGCTGCAACAGCAGTGGCGGCCAAAGAGGCGACGATGACAGAGGCTGAGAAACGCATCTTGAAAGGCTGGGTATCTGCTCGGAGAAGAGGTGGTAGTTGCTGGAAGAGAAGCTGGGAGTTCCTGGTTGTGATTTCGAAAGAGGGTTTCTCATCAAGACTTTATAGTTTATCTGCCAGCAGCATCACTGCCTCCTGACATGAACTAATGCTACGATAGGAAACTTGAAGTCAAGACATACCAGGCGTCTAGACCCATATGGATACCCACCCTTGTGATATTCCCTGAGTGGTGGGCCTAAGTGATTCCCTTCCGTGTCGGCCTGATCTTAGAAGGAGGGGTATAATAGCTCAATGAGTAGTAGTCTGATCAGGAAGGCACTTTTCCCGTGAGAGGCGCTAAAGATCGTAACTTCTTTTTCTTACCAAAACCTACTAGCCATCGTTGTTTTTAGAGTAAGTACATTTCGTACAGAGTTAAGTTTATTGCTTGTATCCTTGGCACGCCGTATGAAGTGTTTCTAAATTCATTCAGCGTGGAATCGGTTCTCATCTTTACTTGGCTCACTGAAGAAACAAGCAGCTGTCCTTGATTGCTGATGAAAAAGACTCATATTATGTCGCATGTGCAAGAGATGTACCGTCATGGGCTTGCGCAGAGTTTTAGATAGACATATGTATGTATCAGTGTTTTTTCGTGTAACCGACATAACCAGGAATCAAAATAAGCGGCTATTACCTACTGAAGGATATTGTAACAGCCATATCTCCTATAATTACTTGGTCTTGATTTTGAACAATCCCTTGCTTTTTGCCAGAGGTGTGGTAGCCATGAAGGTAAAGATTTAGTTTTCTTCGTGTCATTTTGCACTATAAGGAGAGGCTGCTGTTCTCCGGCTATAATTGTTGCATTAGAGACTGTCGAGTGTTTCAGTAATCGGCTGTTTTGTGCATTGATTGTAATATTACTGCCCGCCTGGTCTTCTAGATATTAGTGCGCATGAAATGCAGGGCTAGTACTCGTGTCTTGAGGCTAAATCGCGGAATGATCCGATGAGATAGATGCTCCGTTGAAAGCCCGTGCACGGAGAATTGAGAACATCTGCGTTACTTTCTAAAACCAACACTGAACACTAACACGTTGTGTTTTGTTCAATGCAGCGCTAGATGCCTTATTCTTAAAATACGCACGTTCGAAATAAGCTATTTGTACGGACTGTTGTAAGACTAACTCTTGAAAGCGACTTCTAGAGGTATCTGGATCGTACTCGAAGAAGTCCATGTTGTAGAGTAAATAATTGGCTTTGGCAAGCCAAGTGTGCCTAATCCTTATTTCCGGCTTTCTCTGCACATATAGAGCGGTCAAGCATCCGAAAATGTGGGGGTGGCCTAAAATGTGGGGGGCCTTGAAAGTCGGCCCCCCCGAAACATAGGCGTCCTGAAATATGGGGACTATGCATACGAGTTCAAGAGTGGGTAGTGCAGGGAAGGTTTACATGATGTCTAGCGCAAGAAGTTCCACGAGACACGCGCTGGTTGCTTTGTTTAGATTAGCCCCTCGCAGTAGTATGCTCTCATGATTTCTCTCTTCGGTATTGCCAAGATAACTGTACAAAGAATGGATTGGATAAGGTTTGCCAGCAGTGACGAGAGAATGCCTAATCTTTTGTACCGGTCTTATACCATTGGATACATCGTCGTGTGTTGTCTCTCAAGTCTCAGACGTTGCGATTGGTTAATTTTGGCTACTATTGATTCGTATAGTAAGCTATCATGCAAAATCTTTAATATAGTAGATTTGCAGTTCCGTAGATTGGAAAAACTTTTAGAGAAGATGACATGTCTAAAATCGCAACCAAGCTGGCTGTAGAGTGCAAAGAGGCTGGCTCGAGGAGCTGTGCCGAGGACAGAGCCGGGTAATTACGAAAGTGACATCTGATAACAGAGGACCGTGCATGGCCAATCCAGATCAAAGAATATTTGCGATAGACAGGATGAAGAATACAGAAACTTGATTCCATAATGTTGAGACTGATCCAGCTTCTGGCTTCAATCATGTCAGACAAAATTTTGTCTACCTCACCATCCAGGGATTTGGTAAAAGAAAAAACGCTATTTTTTGACTGCCTTGACCAAAAACGTCGAGCATGTGTTCTTCCAACCCCGCTATATCATCCTCAGTCAATTGCCATTGCAAAGTCCCATCAGGTTGCGATGTACAGGCCTTGTCTAATTCAGTGGTGTTATAATAATGCATATATGTACAATTCTCGTGTTTTTGTATGTTAAACGAAGTTCTTTGCAGGGTGGTATTTCTTGCAATCCCAGCCTCACGTCTTGTCAATTTGCTGCGCATATCTGAAAGACGCACATTAGTATCTCAAACTGTTCGCTTTGAATCATGATCTATCAAGTAGATGTAAGTTCCCAACCAGCTTGATAAAAGTAATGGCCATAGAAAAATTAATGCTGATTCTTTTCAGCGAAATTCGTATCGGAACAGCCGAACTCTCCTGTGTTGCTCCGGACGATACTGTCCACTCTTGAAGTGAGGGACACCATTCCTCCCACGATGGTTAGCTTCTCACAAATGGAAACAGCTATGCGTGGGAATTTCTGCTAGGACTATACATGCAATATCTGCGTTCCCCCAATACTACCGCTCTCCTCGAAAAATGTCGTAGGCTTCCTACTTCGGTGCGACTGCCTGGTTGATTACCCTCTTCCGTGATCACTCTCAACTAGCGTTCTCTACTACAAGGTATAATACGGGTGTGGCTGGGTTAGTATGGACCGACGGTAGGGGTAGAATAGGGTTGCATCACCCGCAAATAGAACTACGGTAGAGACAGGGTTTCGTAAAAGCCTAACCCTACTGTACCTGTATCCGTTCACGAACTTGGCAGAGAGAAGGTGCTGCAACAGTTAGTACAGGGCCTAGCACCTTCTATCTAGAGGTGTACCAAGATCCCAAGCCCCAAATTTTCTTCGTGCATACCATTTCAACCCCGTTAATATAGGGCGGGCCTTTTTCCATTGGTCTGCTCGGGTTCTGAGCGAATGGAACTAGCTGTATTTAACCTAGTATGTTGGATACTTGGCAGCATTGGCAGGTTGTGATTGGCGCGCTAGCAAGTAGCCGTCCCGGTTCTGGAAGAGCCTGGTACTTGGGTAGGCCTTATTTTACCACTTTTCCATGGTGTAAATGAAGTGCCTGCATATGTAGACCACCTGCATTTGCGTATAGGCCACCCACTAGCCCCTCCATCCACAACATTGAGACCCTTGGTATTCGGTCGCATACCTTCTTTTGTGCATTGGCTTCGTAAAATTGATATATACACTGGTTCAAGGAATATTCAATATGGGGGCCGCGTCTGCAAATGTATTTTGCCCAGCCCGACAGCGTTTTTCCAACCCATAAATACCCAGAATAAGGAGCATTAAGCTAATTATAGCCACTATCTAAACCTCTCTAGATTGCTATCTAGGTCGCACGCCCAAGAGATATCGGTGCTTTAGCCGGTGATCCATTCTGATTAGCACAGAGGATGTTTACAACCTCAAGGGCATTGTTTCTGCAGGATGCAATTGCAGGCATGGTGTAGATTGAACTTCTCCATCAATACTATAGTATAGAGCTAAATTAAGGGTACGGAGTAGAACACTATATGTATCTGCGCCAAGTCTGCGATGCACTCATGCGCATCTACATTGGCTCACGACTGACCCTTGTACTCTGTAGACATCCGGACTTTCAATCTTTGCTGGCTTCAAAGATGCTTTCTTTGTTTTAAAAGAGCTTCTTATGTACTCATCTTGAATATTCATCAATATCTACAGCTCCCAATCTCACCTAGTTTCTCTTGCAATCAGGTACACTACAGCACCATGTGATCCTTCTCTTCTATTCCCCTGGCACTTTCTATGGCAACTACGGCCAGCGCCATGGCTCAGAAGAGTATGGCTGCTGGGCAGGCACTCTGAACCGAGCCGGAACTGACAGGGCTACATGTGTATCTCATGCGAGAATGATTGGGCCACAGGCTCATCGGTGTTGGACAGTTGAACGATTGGCTTGCGTAGTTCGGATACAATGAGAACGGAGTGTACATGATGCCTGCGAAAACTCTGGTAGAGCTGGAAATTACTGTGATTTTGAGCGTTCCCACCTGGACCGTATGTCGAAGGATGATGGATGATCGATGTGGCGCGTATGTCCCAGGATACATGATGGATTGGTGGTGGCTTCCTACCCATAGGGTTATTGTTCGGCAAGGCTTTCAGTGGCACTACAGTGTGCCGAGGAGACTTGAGGGCCTGTCCTTAGTGTTCAGAACATCATGTTGGGTCGGTTGCAACATTAAAGATGTAGCTACGCTTGAAAGTAGTGGTTGTGCTAGATCTAGTTAGTATAATGGTGTTGTAGCTTAGTAGATTTTTTGTCCTAATACGAGAATGATTATGATCGACATAAATGTACCTGCATGCGTATTTGAAGGGAACGGCAATGAATGTCTACCTCATGATATCCCACCTGCCTGTTCGCATGCATCTTCTCTTACCCACATGCATTCTTGAATCTAATCGGTGTTTTAAGCCTGCAGGAGGATTTCTATCGCTCGATTTACGAAGAAAACTAGCATCCAACAATGTCGTGATGGCAACCAGTGCCAGCTACTATATACCAAGGGTGGTCCAGGCACTAAAAAGATAATCTTTCTCTACGATATGATTTTTGAGTGGAGATTAAAGCTTACATAATTGGGGGCAGAACTGAGTCTGGAGATCGAAGAGATCGATACCGACATCAATTCTTTGGTTGATCGGGATTACAGTACGACATCGAAAATCTTCTGTCAGGGTGATTCCCAATGCATCTAGAAATAAGGGAGATATTCTTACTCTCCTTCTTCAAGACAAGTAACCTCAGTCCTACTCAGCTCAGCCTCCAAGAAAATCACAATGCCCAAGTTTGAACATAATTTCAAGGCCATGATTGGCTGATTGGCGCGGAGCCTACGAAACGAAGCTCAGAATTGACATGATAGGAGTATGGTTTACGTCAAGCGCACATATGCTGGTTATACTTTCAATTGGATTTGCAGGCAATACATCAAGGAACTAGAAAT